CAGTTCTGGAGTCCCCAACATAAGAAGGACATGGACCAGTTGGAGAGGGTCCAGAGGAGGGCCACGAAGATGATAAGAGGGCTGGAGCACCTTTCCTATGAGGACAGGCTGAAAGAGTTGGGGCTGTTCAGCCTGGAGAAGAGGAGGCTCCGGGGTGACCTTATAGCAGTCTTCCAGTACCTCAAGGGGGCCTACAAGAAAGATGGGGAGAGGCTGTTCAGGAGGGCCAGTTGTGATAGGACAAGGGGTAATGGTTTTAAAATAGAGGGAGGTAGATTCAGATTGGATATTAGGAAAAAGTTTTTTACCATGAGAGTTGTAGAACACTGGAACAGGTTGCCCAGAGAGGTGGTGGATGCTCCATCCCTGGAGACGTTCAAGGCCAGGTTGGATGAGGCCCTGAGCAACCTGATCTAGTTGGAGATATCCCTGTTCCTTGCAGGGGGGTTGGACTAGATGACCTTTGAAGGTCCCTTCCAGCCCTAACCATTCTCTGATTCTATGATTCTAAGAATGTCAAGTTTTCACAGCTGTATTCCTAATTTATTTAATGGAAATAATTTTCTGCTCCAAAAGATTAGAAACAGGACAGTGTAAGAGTTTTTAAAAACAAAGAATTTAAGATTTTTTTAAAATGCAGCATATTCTTTAAAACATAGAACCAGCAGAGGAAGAACCCTCCTGATGCTTTAGCTTTCTTATTCCCTGCTGATATCTTGTACTGTTGAGCCAGACTATTGAATTATTCTTGCATTAAAAAGTTGTTTTTCCCAAGATTTCTGTGAAAAAAGAAAGTCAGGGAAGAAAAAAAAACCACAAACAGCCTAGACAATAGGCTTAAATGTCCATCGCAGATGGATTTTCCTTTCATGTGTAAAGCTGTTTGGAAGGAGTCAGTGGTAAATTTTTCAAGGAATGGTATTCATCAGTCTTCTTGTAACTCCCCTTTGCCCTGTATGGCCACCTACAGAGGGCCCTTTAGAATAGCTCACTGATACCATAAATCTTTCTCCTCTCAACAAAGTATCAGGCCTGCTCTGCATCTCCCTACTTTTTTCTGCACAAGTGTGTGTCTTATATGAATTCATGTCACTTTGTGCTCTCTAGAGGGGGTCTGTGATACTTGAGTTTTCTGATAGTATCTGTGGTATGCACAGCAATAAAAAAATGTTTAAAAGTATTCATGATGCGGTTATTTGGATTTAATAGTGCTGTTGGCAAGTTAATGGTGTTTATTTGTATGACGTTTATAAAATCCTGTATCCTCTTGAACACTGTAATATGAAGTTCAAAGAGCTACACTGAAGAACAATCTGTTTTGTTTCTTTTATTTATAGTGCAACTATGAAACCTAAAGTGCCACCTCCTTTACCACCAAAGGTAAGTGACAGGGATTTTGTTTCCCAGAATAAAAGGGCACTTAAAATAAATAAACACATTCAGAAGTGTCTAAATGACTGTACTGATGGCTGTCACTTGAGCCATGGCTTGAAGACTTCAATCAAGTTTTCAGTCAAGAGTATAGCCAGGGGCTTGACCTGTATGTTGTTAGTCTTTAACTGCAAATCTGCATGCAGTCTTGCACTGTAGGGTATTTGTCAGTGTGAAAGTGCTGTTTCTGACTAATTGCACTTCTGATACTTTGGAAGGAATAAATTGGGTAGTTAAAAAAATTTAGTACCACACATAATTTTTAATAATGAGCTGCCAAACAAAGCATCTGCTTGCTGACTTTTGGTGTCTGAATGGTGATCTTCGCAGGCATTCCTTTTTTCCTGGATCAGATTAGGTTTTGCATGCTGCCACTTGAAGAGTAAGTGGATCTTTTCACACTGAAGTTATCTTAATATGAGCAAAAATTTTAAAAAAAGTATATCTTTTTTGTCTGGCTGTCAGTTCTCCAGGCAAAAACTGCAGGTTTGATTACTTTCCCTCCTGCACTAACTATCTTTGCTAACTGAGAAGGGTTTTACAAGCAGCATTAGTGCAGCCAGTGACTAAACAACGTTGCCCTTTGTGGTTACATCCCCTATTTGGGATTCTTTACACAAAGTTCTGACCACATCATTGAATGTTGTGTGGTTTCTACTTAAATGTCTGGTTTGGTTTTCTGTAGTCATAAACAGTGGCGTTTTCACTTCTCCAATAATTGTTTATTGCATGACTTGAATATAATGATTTTGAATTTGTCCTTTGTCAATAACAAGGTTTTCCTTACTGGTATACATTTCCTTCTAGTTTGTTTTTTGAAATAAATGTGCATGGCAGGACATGTTGCTTTATCAATTTACTTGTGAAAATTCCAGGATCCAAATATTGCATGTCTTTTTTTTTTCCTCATTGAGAAGTAGCATGGATGCTTTGAATCTTTTTTCATTATGTTTTTATTATTACTATGTCTTTTTCAGCCTAAATCCATCTTTATTCCCCAAGAAACTCATTCTTCTGAAAATGATAATCAAGGGACAATCAAGAGATGCCCAACATCAGAGAGTCCAGCAAAATCTGCATCTCAGGTTCCACCCAGACCGCCACCTCCTCGGTTACCTCCACACAAATCTAATGCTTTAGGTAATAAAAGTGACACCACAAAGTATACAAACATTTCTTAAATAATCTGATGTGATTTTAGTTCTACATCCTCACCTATGTACAGATTGAAACATACTGTGGTAATTTTTCTGTGGTGGGCCAGTCACAGAAAGTGCATGAAAGCCGAAATGCACAAAGAAAGCATGCTTGAACTCTTGAAGAGGGTCAAATGTACTTTCTAGTAAAGTCACTAATTGCTGATGCCATTGGTGACACAATTGCTTTTCTAAGCTACAGGCTTATAGTATAGTATATTGGGATTGGCACAGTGAAGAAAAAACTTTTCTGTATGTAGCTTTCAGATTCTGGCCCTGTATGTCAACTATTGTTGTCATTTGACATGTCAAGAATACAGTTTTGCTTTGAAAGTTTGCTTTTATATGTAATGAACTGGTATAGCAGGTAATTGTGTTTGTTTACTGTTTGCTCAGGCTGTTCCTTTTACGCTTTTGTTGAAGTCTGATGCTTTGAGAACTGTCCTGGACTGGCTTGTTTTAAGCAAGCTCGATGTCTGACTCTTAATTGATATCTTGCTATCTCTTCCTTGCTACATATTTAGTACTGCAGTTGGTGTGTTACAGATTTGACTATAACGCTTAAGCATCCAGTGCTAAGAAATACCTCAAGGCTATTTATAAAGAATTGATAATTTAAGCATTAGCTATAGCCAAGTTTTTCTTTAGATATGTTAAATACATTTTTCCTTATAACCATGACTGGATCCATTTCCATGCCCACAATAGATTTGTTATATTAATTACCAAAAGCTATAGACTGATATTGAATGTGGCTTTATAGATGGTTATATGTGCACACGTAGGAACGTGCATGCTTTCGAAATAAATTAGGTTATTGGAAAATGTTCTGACATAAGTGGAAATTTTGACTATTCAAAATTGTTTTTAGACTAGACTACTCTTTAAGTCAAAGGTAGAAGAACACATTTTAAAATACAAATCTTTCTAGGTAATGGAGTCACTTCTGTACAATTAAATGGTGAAAGAGACGGATCACCACATCAACAGAACGAAGCTAGAGACACTAATATTTCAAGGAGAGAAAAGAAGGAAATACTGGTAGGTATTAAGCTTCTAGATGTTAGTTTAAAGTTGTCTCAATTGAACTACATGAACAATGAAAAGGAGCGGCTGCACTCTTTAGTACAGAAATGATGCTGGGTGGAATCTTGTTTACTTTGAATCAAAGCACAGTTTTGCTAGATCGTCTAATTGTGATACAGTCTTAAACTGAAGTTTGAGTTGGTATCTGATTTTCTTTGGAAACTAACATAATCACGGATATACAAGATTTACTTGCTTGCATTCACATACTTGAGACACATGTAATAAGAGTGAGATCCTGCAAGAGAGATGTATGTAATACGTTGTACTGAGCAATGACTATTTAGGCAAGTGAGGACATTAAGTAATATACTGCCACCTCATGGCTTACTGGAGGGTTTAGCTGCCCTGGGACAGAGTCGGAATCAGGGCTGTTCCCAAACGAGTCCTCCTCCTATCCCAGGTGTAGATATACAGGCATTTTTGTGTTCAGGGGAAGAAAAGGAGAAATGTAGATTGAGGTCCAGATGTGCAAGCTGTTTGCCTGTTGGCCTCTGCAGCCGTGGGTTTCAGGGTTTAGTAGCTTGGGTTTAGTGTGAGACTTGAGCTACATATACTTACATGAAGTTGCAGTCGTGGAGAGAGTGCAGTTTTACACCACATGTAATCTGATCTGAGCTCAGGAGAAGGACTATTCCCCTTTCATCTCTTCCAAATGAGCTTTTTTTTTCTAGTGGTCACTTTTGTGATGCAAAAGCAAAAGCGGGAATGTGAGATAGGAGGGAGTGGGACATCTGTAGTGTAATGTGAAACTGCACTGTTTGGAGGCTTCTTCTAAGGATGAGGTTGGAAATACTGCTCTTTTGAGAGAAGTGAAAAGGAAATATAGCAGGAACATTGTGTGCATTTTTGTTTTGTTTTAAGGAAGTGCCAGTACTTTGGAAAGTATGATTTCCTGAACTGCTTTGAACTTGGCATTTGAAATTGTGTGTTTGAAGTTTCCTGTGTTACCTGTAAAATACATTTCTTCAGAAGCATGTTTTTACTAGAAGAAATTGGTACTGATACAGGAAAGTGGGTCTAGAACTGATTGATGGAGTTTAAGGCTGCTTGTGATATTGAACAATATTGTTTAAACTTTGTATTGCTGGATGTGGCATTCTTTCAGGCATTATCGTTATGTGAAAATGTTGCCCAATAGACTACACAGACATTCAATGAGGAGATATTAGAGAATTGCAGTAGAGGTTTTAATGAAAGAAAATAATAGTTTATGATGTGTGGTCACTAGAGACATGTGGTTAGTGAACTCATACAGAATTATGAAAGTGTCAGTTGGAAGGGAGGTCTCTAGCCTAACCTCATGCTTAAAAATGGGACTGTAGCCAAAGCTCAACCATGGCTTTCAGGTCTAGTACCTGTGGCACTGGACACAGCGGAGTGTCCCAGTAGGTGCCTAGTGCCTTCCATTTAGCATAGTGTAGAAAGACATGACACAACTGTATTTATTTTCTTAAATCTGCAGGGAGGGTTTTGTATCTATTTCTTATGTAGATAAAAGTATTGGCATATTATTTTCTCCTAACGTAATTATGCTCAATTATTTATCAAGTGATTCTAACAGCATTCTGAAAAAAAATTTTTAGACTTGTATTTTGGTTATGCTGTAGTGTGGGGAGAGAATATGCATGTTCATGCATACGTGCACATGTGAGTGTAATCATACTATTTAACTTTTTATTTTCTAGAAGCCAATTAGTAATGGCCTTCCTCCCACACCTAAAGTTCACGTGAGTATTACTGAGTCATGCAAATGGATGTTGGAAGCAGAGCATGTTTTCTTACTGAAGCTGACATTAGATTTTTTTGAATGTTTGTAGTATCTTTAAAAAAAAATAAACATCAGTATCTCTTAGAAATGTCAAGCCACAGTTATGATATTTCAGAAATCACCCTTGATTTTGTGCTCTTGAAGTAAATTTTGGAAGGGTTTTTGTTTGTTTGCTTCATTAAAAAGTGAATGAGGGTTACTTTCAGTGCAATGAAGATCCTGATCTGAGGACACCATGCCTCTCTGGAATTGCAAATAGCTCCAAGTTTATACTATGTAGCTCCAGGCTTCAAAACTTGTGAAAACAGGATTCCTGGATGTCTTAGGGCTGGAAATAACTTACAAACATCTATGTGCACCTCCATGGCATAAAGTAAACTAGAATTTCATTGCAATATCTGCGCAAGCTTGTCACTCTGCTTTTAGCCAGCACTGTGATCAGAAGATCCAGTCTTTCCTTCTTTCTTGACCATGTTTCTGCCCTCACCACTCTCCTCTGTGCATGCTGGAGCATGCATTCATGTAGTTGTGCTGTGCACCAAATGAGGGGTTAATCTAATTTTAAACTAACCTTTTAGCTATGTTACTCCTAAGCCAGATCAGTTTCTCATCTTTAGATAGGAAAATAAAACTGCTACAAGGATGTTTAAGTGGAAATTATATTATTCCTACCCGTTTTAGAGAAGCAGGACAGGTTGAGGTAGATGTCGTGCTTCAGTTCCTTAGAACTGTAATCTCTTGCATAAATGCACGGGATTGTTCCAGAGCTCTGAATTCTTGATATGTTTAGCATCGTTTATTGAGGTTAATCCTGTTTTGATAAACTAAATATTAAACTAAATGCATGGCCTAGGAGTGCGTACTTTAAACTAGTGGATGACAGAAATTCGGAAGCACTCCTGGCATTGAAAAGAACCATATTGTCATGGGGACGGGGAAATAAGATAGATTCAGTGACTGGAATGAGAAAAAGAGTAGAAAATAGAATAGCTCAGAATGAAGTCATACGTGTTGAACTTTTGCCACAGACTTCAGGGGCAGGCCATCAGAGAATGACTGTGAGTTGCTAATAAAATGAAGCTGTAAAAAGAGACTGACTAAAATAGGAAAACTTCTGAAGTCTTTGGGTATTGAACTGCTCTCTGCATGTTTGTGTGTCTTTGTAGTGCACTAATTTTCTGGTTCTGCTGGTCCCCAGGTTAGAAACTCCCCTCTCTTCCTCTTCACTCATCATGCCTCACCTTTTATTTATAATAAACTTTGTAACCTTCCTGTTAAGTGTTGAAGACTGATTTGGCACATACATTTTCCTTTCTGCCTGCTGTCTCCTTCAGTTGCCAAATAACAAAAAATTGGGTAAGGAAGGGATTCTCCCATGTCTTAGGGGTTACTGGACTTTTTACTATTAGTAAAGTATTTCTTAGTATTTCTCTATTGTGAAGCATGTTTTGCATCCTAACATCACCTGAGAGTCTTGTTTAACAAATACCCTGCCACTGCAAGTAAAACTTTGACAATACCTCAATCTCTTCTGTTCTTTTTCTGTGGTACATCATTGTTCTGATTCTTGTTTGCTTGGGTTTTTTTGACTTCTGGTTCTTAATTATGTTGCCAACTGGTAAGTGTTTTGCATTCTTACTGTCCTCTAAAATAGTTAAATGTCCTTCTACACCAGAGGTGTTGCCAGGGTCAGAAGGGCCTACCCCTGGTATCACGATCACCTCCACGAGGAAGAAAAGACATGTTGTAGTTGTAGGCAGCTCCCTTTTGCTTTTTGGAACAAAGGGTCCAATATGCTGGACAGACCCTCTTAGGGAAGTCTGCTGCTTCCCTGGGGTGCAGTTTAAGGACATGGCTAAGAAACTTCCTAGCCTGGTACGGCCCTCAGACTATTACCCATTAGTGGTTTTTCATGTGGGTGGTGATGAAGCAGCAACATGTAGTCCAAGGGCAATCAAAAGAGTCTTCAGAGCCCTGGGCACAGTTGGTAAGGGAATCTGGGGCACAGGTGTTTTTCTCTCTCCTTCCAATTGCAGGAAGTGACACTGGAAGAAACAGATGCACCCAGTCTAGTAACACGTGGCTCTGTGGCCGGTGTCACCACCACAGTTTCCAGCCTCAGGAGCAATGCATCCTAACCAAGAAGAAGTCAGACAGAAATACCAGGAGGTCTGCATGGACAAACTCTAGCACAAAATGGTAGCCTACAGAGAGTGGAAGCAAGGACAGGTAGCCTGGGAGGAATACAGAGAAATTGTGTGAGCAGCCAAAGATCAGGTTAGGAAAGTAAAAGTCCTGATAGAATTAAATCTGGCCAAGGACATTAAGGGCAACAAGAAAAACTTCTATAGGTATATCAGTGATAAAAGAAGGACTAGGGAAAATGTGGGCCCCCTCTAGAAGGAAGCAGGAGACCTGGTTACTTGGGATATGGAGATGGCTGAGGTTCTGAATGACTTTTTTGCTTTAGTCTTCACTGGCAAGAGCTCCAGCCGCACTGCCCAAGTTGCAGAAGGCAAAGGCAAGGACTGGGAGAATGAGGAACTGCCCACTGTAGGAGAAGATCAAGTTTGAGACCATCTAAGGAACCTGAAGGTGCACAAACCCGTGAGACCTGATGAGATGCATCTGTGGGTCCTGAGGGAACTGGCAGATGAAGTTGCTAAGCTGCTAGACATCGTATTTCAAGAGTTGTGGCAGTCTGGTGAAGATCCCACTGACTGGAACAGGGGAAACATAGCCCCTATCTTTAAAAAGGTGAAAAGGAATATCCAAGGAACCCAGACCAGTCAGTCTCACCTCTGTACCCAAAAAGATCATGGAGCAGATTACTCTGGAAACTATGCTAAGGCACATGTGTCATGGTTTAGCCCAGCCAGCCGCTAAGACACCACAGGGTCGATCACTCGGTCCTCCGCCTCAGTGAGGTGGAGAGGAGAAAAGTGTAACAAGGACTGAGGGTCGAGATAAGAACAGGGAGGGATCACCCACCAACCATGGCCATGGGCAAAACAGACTCAGCTCAGGTGACAAATCAATTTAATTTGTTAACGGCTCAGAGAGGATAACAAGAAACAAAGCCAGATCTTAAAAACACCTTTCCCCCACCCCTCCTTTCTTTCTTGCTCCGCCTCCTCCTCCAGTGGTGCAGGAGGACAGGGAATGGGGGGTTGCAGGTCAGTTCATTACATGTTGTTTCTGCCACTCCTTTCTCAAAGGAGGAGGACTCCTTACACTCTTTTCCCCTGCCCAATGGATCCCCTCCTCATGGGACAGTCCACAGACTTCTCCAATGTGAGTCCTTCCTGCAGGATGCGATCATTACCCGTCAGATTGCTCCAGCATGGGCTTTTCCCCACAGAGTCACGGCTCCGTAGGGAGCTGTCACCCACTCTGGCATGTGGTTCTCCCCAGGCTTCGGATGAGTCTCTGCCTCGTCATCAGTGTCCACCAGTTCATGGAGACCATTCTCTACGACCTCCTTCAGGCACAGGCATCTCTGCTCCAGCGTGGGGTTCTCCCTGGGCTGGGGGTGGGTCTCTGCTCCACTGTTAATCTCCACAGGCTGCAGGGGAGCTGCCTGCTGTCTCACCACGGGCTGCAGGGGAATCTCAGCTCCGGCACACCTCCTCCCTTTCCATCTTCACTGCCCTTGGTGTCTGCATGGCCGTTTTTCTCAGGTCTCAGTCCTCTTGTCACCGAAAATCCGGACAGAAACTCTTTAACACAGTGTGCAGTGTTAGAAAGTGGCATTACTTTATTGCGGCGCCAGGTGCATGGGGGATATCTCCTCCTGGCTGCACCTCTGGCCCCTGGACAGAAACTTAGTTATACACTGCAATCAAGCATACTCATAACGTGTTTACGTAGTCTTTGTTATTCTCTTAAACAATTGGTTCATTTTCTCTTGCTTTACTTGTAAATTCCTTTGCATGCTCAGTTCTCTTCGTTCACCCCTTTCTTTTGGGTCTGGGATGTGTTTAGGGGAGGTGGTCTGTGAGTCGGTGGTCGTGATCTCCCCCTGCCAGAATTACCTTTTCCCCAAGTCACTGCATGGTCACAGTTCAGAGAAACATGATCACAAAGTTTATACGTTCTCTGGGATGTTCCCTTCAAGTTCTGGATAAAGAGCCTCCCTTCTAATCACTCTGGGCAGCTTCAAGGATGCTCATCTTGTTATGTTCTTGAGGTATGTGCAAACCGCCTACTAAACTCTTCATGAAATTCTTGCAAAAGTTTTAGCCCCTTCATTGTTGGATAACACTCTCAGTGAACCTCAGCAGTCCCGGCAAGACAAACTCCTCCCAGCAGGTGCCCCGGAAGCGAGGCGCTTCA